TGATGATGATGATGATGATGATGATGATGATGATGATGATGATGATGCTCCGTTTTCTTGGGGATTATGGTGCAGTGTCAACAAGCCAACTCAAGACCATAAAAGGCTTGGTGATCCACCATCTACACACCTGATTAGTACGACTTGGTGAATTCCGCAGGATCTGTGACCCGTACTTGCAGAGTCGACTTCAGCAGCTCGCAAGCACATTGATGGATCAAAAGGATTTTATGGGCAGCCTTTTGTGAGTGAGACGGGGTTGTGTCTGGCGGCAGCCTCCTGAAAACGTGTGGATCTACTGACTCCCTCAGTTTCCCTGGGAAGTGAATAAAGCTTAACCTCTTTCCACCTGTTCCACTTGGTCATCCACCTAGGAACCTCCCATAAAGGTTTTGAGCGATCCTGTGATCCTGTGCAAGATTGGATGTTTTCCACATTTTTCCACTGGGATGCTGCCGCTCAGAAAACTTGTCAAAGGCTCTGATGCCGATGCCCTTGAAAAATAATCATTGCTCTTCTTTCTCTGCGCCTTTCTCTGTGGGCTTCACAACCTGTGGGGCAAGCTCCTGGTTGAAACGTCGACCAGGGCACTGGGTGATCTTACACATGCGTAACCTTGAACCGTGCTGAATCCAACCAACAAAGATCCCTTACAGCAAAGGACTGGGTCACATGTGCCAGCATGGGCTCCACATTGAAGTGTCGCTGTATCACCAACCTCACGAATATGTATGGTCTGGGTCTTCTTGTTGCGTCTGTCTCCAGATGATCTATATAAAAAGATGGGAATCGTGGAATCGTCCTCACTTGGTCAATCATCACCAAAATATCCCAGTGGGACAGTCCCACCAGGATGGTCGGAGAAGCTTTTTTTTCTGGGGGAGTACATGCACCTTGCCACCCCAACTATTTCACTTCTGGAATCCATCCAAGACTCCACACATTCTTCATCATTCTTCAAACGGACGAACATCAACATTGGTCAAAAGTCAGTCCTAGACTGACTCAGATGTGGTCCATGACTACAAGGTCCGATTGACATGTGGATGCCATCTCCTTCAAAGGGGAACAAAAATACCTCGGCAAACAAAACAAAAAAAGAACACATCACACACATGAAAGAATTAACATATAACAAGATATAACAAGTATCTCCTTTCAAAACCGAGCTGTTCAAACAAGAATACACTGCCCCCATCCGTCCCCATCCCCGCCGCCGAGGGGCGCCCAAGCAGGCCAACGCCCCCAAGATCCGCTGACTCGGCCGGCGCCGGCCCACGCGTGCCGTGGGGGAGAACGGCTCCTGGTGAAGCGGTCAATGGGGGTCACCTCCCCTAGGCTGAAGAGGTGATTGTTAATCAAGATTCTAGATGTTATAAATTACACTATTACATAATATTACAATAATGTATGACCCATGATACTACTATATAGATCTATATAGTATATATATAGGCTGACGTCTCATCTCACCTCCATGTCAAAGCCTTCAATTGGTCCCAGCTCAGTTGTGTCCTGGGCCAACTTGTCGCGCTCCTGACCCCCAGTTGCTCCGTGGGAGGTGTTTCCCACGCCTGGCGAGGAGAACGACACAGGGTTCAGTCCAATGGGCGTTGATACATTTGGAATCATGTTGATCATAATATATATATATATATATCATGTTGCTGGATCCAAAGTGACCATGCAACATGACATCTGGATGCATCTGTAATTTGTGGGACTGAACCAACCATATGCAATCTGGTGGGCCCTTGCGACACACCAAGGCCACAAGCGGGGACACCCGGAACAACAACACCGAGTCCTTGTTGGTCAATCGGCCTACGTCAAATAAACATGAAACCGTTTCCAGTTATTTTTCTGCAGTACGTTGCAACAAAGACGGACTTGGGAATCTTTTTCTCAGAATGAATGGATCCACCCACGCCAGGTTCCCTGCGACTGCAAGTTGGTGCCTGTAACCTTGCCCTGCTTTGGGCTCCAGGTTTCTGCCTGACCAGGCTTTGCGGCCAGCATGGTGGCAAGGCTTTCATCATGAAGTGGGATCCACTCAATGCATCAACCAACTCGGTACTGCAATCATATAGCAAAATACAGCTAATGTATATAATGATACTTATACAGTTATAGACTCGATGTTTAAACAAAGCTTCAAGGTCCTGAGCGCTCATCAAGTGTGACCCGTCCATTCTCGCAGTTCTTGACAGCAAGCTGGCAAGAAACCTAAAGAAGTTCTGGAGCTCGTTATGCTCATTACTATCTCCATATCCATTTGTTCGCGGCTACAGGGTCTTGCGCGGCAAGGGAGCAATCACAAGTTGGTCTCAAAATGTACGAAAACAACACACATCTCAAAACAATCTGCTAGGCATAAAGGCAGAATGCGGCAGAATGTCATACGTCCACAAACATAATCCGTCCACCAGGCGGTCAAACTGAGAGGTTTCGCAATCTCTCCATGCCCCCCTATCTTGTTTGCCGCATCCTTGGAGGCCATTGCTATTAGATTGGAGGCCATTAGGTTCTTCATCCTGTTTCATTATATAATCCACTTCACACATCCATTCCCCCCAAGTCCTCTGCCTCATCCACTTCAGGCCTTGAAGCCCGGAAGCCGGACCGGTCCGGTTCGGAATCGGCCATGTGAGAGCTGTTCCGCAGCCATGGCTGCGAGTCATGGCACCCTGAGCTCGAAACCCTGGTGGCTTGACCTCCCCGTCCTAGTCAGTCGTCCTTCTGCTCATCTCTTCGGCGGGAACGGGACTTCTTTTCAAGCCCCAAGCGCGGTAGGTTCACCTGCCCGGTTCCATGCATGGATGTACCCATGAGTTGGGGTGGTTGACTTGATACTCTGGTCATTGGCCATTGAGCACGATGCATCCAATGCACCCCTCATGGCCTTCGGCTGTCGAGGCGCGTCGCTTCCACAGCCTTCTTGGCCTCATGGAGTTCCAGATCCTTCCTGAGACCGCCGCCGCTCGGACGCGGCGTCGCGGGGCGGAGAAGAGCGGCTCTTCTTCCTGCGAAGGTGTGCATCGTGACCCCCAAAATGTGTGCGCGCTTGTGTGTGTGTGTGTGTGTCTGGAAGTGTAGTTTTGTTTGTCAGGACAAAAAGTGACCTGGGTTGTTTGTTGATGCACACTCCCCAACCTCGCTAGATCACACAAGGGAGACCTCGATAGATCGCACAATCACACTTGCAAGACTTGCAAACGGAGGACTCTTAAACAAGGCCTTGATAGTTCTTGCCATTGCTAAATGAATTAAATGAATGAACCAAATCAGCGCGCCCGACACAGCTGGAAATGACCGAATCTGTTGCTCCTGGACCCCGAAGTCAGGTTTCGACCGGTGTCGATAGGCTTTCAGGCGCAAGCTCAGTCTGAAAGCAATACCTTCTGGGACACCTACAACGTCCATCCACGCGTTCCACCCAATCCCGGCGAACACACATGCCGCACGGAGTCCGGGAGCCGCCGACACACGGCGGAAAGAACCACGGAGGACGAGGTCGAAAGATACGGGTCTTGGGATCTTCTGAAGGTTCGGCGTGTAGCTTAGAGCACCGATCATCTACAGATCTCTTAGCAGCA